GCTTCCCCTGGATGGTTCAAGAGGGTTTGGCCTGGTCTAAAGGGTGCACCTAGTGGCTGTGGTGGTCTTTGGTTGGCCAATTTGGCTTGGTTAAGTTAAATTTGGTGAAATGGTCCATGTGGGTCAAGTTGGCTTGAAGTTGGGTTTGATTTGGGCTAATCATGCTATTGAGCTCAATTGATTGATCAATTTGATGTAATGATTGTCAAAGAGAGTTTAGAGAAGAATTGGAGTGGTTTTGAGTTAATTTGGAATTTCAATTTGAAGGAATTTGGTCTTTTAGTCAATTTGGGGGTGTTGGGTTGAACTTGGGTTTAGGCTAGGCTAGGGTTGGGCTAGGTCCAAATTGATGGCTTAAAATGGTCTAGGGGAATGTCATAAAGAGTTTTCAACATCAATTGGGTGCCAATTTTAGGTTTAGGGCATTCAATTTGGTGGAATTTAGGCATGTGGCTAAATTAGGGAAAATTTGGGGATTTTGAATTTAGGTTAAAATTAGTGGAATTGAGGTTTGATCAAGGTCATTTGAGGGCTCAATTTGATTATTAGGAATTTTAGGAAGAGTTTGGGATCCAAATTGAGGCAATTGAGTGGGCTATGAGGTTCAATTGGGTGAGATTGGATCATATGGATCATATGGTCAAATCATATGGTCAAAATTGGGGGTTTTGGTTTGGATCAAAATTGAGCTCAAATCATGGGTCAATTAAGCTTGGATTTTGTTTAAAATGATCATAGGCAAGATGAATTTGAGTTTATAATTGAAATTGGGAAAAATTGGGATGAAATTGAGGGACATTTGGGGTGAATTTGGAAATTGAGGGACATTTGGGGTTGAGGGACATTTGGGGTGAATTTGGAGAAATTGGGCCTTTAAGGGCAAGTTAGGGTTTTAGTCAAAATGATCAAATTGGGTTTAATTGAAGGGTCCAAATTGGTTTTGTAGATATTTGAAATGATTTTGAGGGTTTTGGGAAGTTTGGGCCACGAAGGGTATTTTTGTAATTTTGGCAAATTTGGGGGGTATTTTGGTAATTTTGAAAACTTTCAGAGGTTTTATGCAATTTGGGTAATTTCAAATGATTTGAGATGATTTTTGAATAAACTTGGATAGTTTGGGTAATTTGGGATTTTCTTTTGTCAAATTTGGGGTTTGAGGGTGTTTTAGTAATTTGGGTAGATTTGGGGCAAAATGCTAAGTTTGGTATTTTGGTGAAAGTGAGGTGCCAACCACCCTATTTGAGCTATGAACCAATGGAATCTTCTACTTTGGGTCCTTCATGTACTGGTCTGGGCTAGATCTTCGCCTAGGGCTAGTGGATCTAGGGGACCATCTACACGAGCCTCTCAAAAGATCAAGGGATCAAAGTCAACAAGATTGGGTTTAGGGTTGTGAGTGTGATGTGGTGTGAAAGTGAGTGAAATAGCTTCAGACCAACACCCAGGGTCAACTCTAAAGCCAAGTAGTATTATGGGGACTCCCCTTGAGCTCCCCAATATTGACCCCACCTACCAAGTGCTAGAGGTCAGTACCAATATGTGGAACTTCAAGTTGATCAAAAAAGAGTTTAGAATTTCTAATGGTGAGGGTTCCTTTTCTAATCATTTAGAAATATTCAACAGAAAAGTCCTATGGCTAGACCCTAGGCTACTGAGGAATCTAGACCTCAACCAAAAGTGAGGTCAACAACCACCTTGTCATGGCTGGGTTGTCAGACATCCATGTGCGTAACGTCTATTGCCTCAATGCAGCTCTGTTTGAATTTGTTAGAGATGTCAATCCCACCACCCTAATTACATTCTGAAGTAAGCATAACACACTACTGAAACTTACCTTGAAAAATGGTGTAACACGGGTCATTAGCAATTTTTTCTGGAGTTGTAATGAATAATGGATCATCTGCCTTAATTATGTGGGACGCTAAGCTAACTAGTGTTTTCAGACCTTCAGAGAAGTATCAACATACTATCTCCAATGAATGTTGGAATCGCTCCATAACTCCTCTAATTAATTCATTATGAGATGTAATGTATAGCGCTATTGCCAACAACTCCCTTGTAGTCGTTCTGGAGGAACATTGAAGGTTGTGGTTGCTTCGTAGCTCATGAAGGAGATCCAAAAAATGGGTACACATATGAAATATATTATTGAACCTCATTGGATTTCCAACGAACATCTTTCCCACCCATTTATCTCCAATAAAGGACGACTTCATGCTTGATGTTCGAATAATGATGGAGCGGTAGTATTCTAACAACAATATAACAATCGCCGCAACAACAACCATTCTTTTGTGGAGTTCTCACTGCCGATCCATCATGAAGAAATGATTTGTTAGGGTAACATGGTATGGATAAACAGCTTCTTAAAATCAAAGAAAAAAAAGTGCAATTGTAATACCCTTAACTGAAATGACTAATACATCTACCCATTTCAGCTCCTTCGATAACTTCCACTTCATCTTCAATTGATCTCACTTATTCTTGAATTTTAGCTTATCATACTCCTTTCCAATCAATTCTTTGAACCTCTTCGAGATATTTTGCCAACTTTCATTCTGAAAGTATGTGGTAGGTCTATTTCCAATCTTAATCTCTTTAATGCAAAAATCGCAAAAAATATTAGTTACTTCCTTATCCCACATTGCTGACGGGCCCCTTCTTTCATCTTAGACATGTTGGAAATAATTGAAAAATTAACAGTTAAACAAAACAACTTAACATATTACAAACTCAACATGTTAGACTATTACAGAATGATAACCTAAAAAAATTGAATTAAATACCATCACAGAATGAAAAATAAATAAACGTAAACACAAAATAGAAGAGCTTGGAGAAAGCCAATACAATCACATGAATACCATTCACGGCCACATAAACTGCTCTCAAAGCCACCTCATACAAGCACAACCAACATCTACCACCAACCCGCACAACCTAAGGCCAACAGAGCACACCTAAGCCACCATAAACACCATTCACAACCACCACACACAAGCTCACCTCACATCCACCACCAACCCACACACCAAATGCCTGCAGAGCACTCCCAAGCCACTATAAACTACTCTCACAACCACCACTTAGAAGTAAAACTAACATACACCACCAACCTTTACACACAAGGCCAACAAAGCACACCCAAGCCAACATAAACACCACTCACAGCCATCACACACAAGCGCACCTCACATCCACCACCAACCCACACACCCAAGGCCTGTAGAGAACACTCAAGACACCATAAACTGCTCTCACAACCACCACACACAAGCACAACTAACATCCATCACCAACCTACACACCCAAGCCCAACAAAGCACAACCAAAGCCACCATAAACACTAATCACAACCACCACACACAAGCACACCTCACATCCACAACGAACCACACACTCAAGGCCTGCAGAACACACCCAAGCCACCATAAACTGCTCTCACAGCCACCACCCGCAAGCACAATTAACATCCACTACCAACCCACAAGCATTTTTGGTAGCCACACGTTTGTCAGGTAGAAAAGGAAATAGAAGCAAAGAGAGCTAAAAGATAATTTGGTAATAGAGACAACAACGATGGATCTAAGAAAGAAGCAAAAAAAGAATCAAATGTAATAAGAAAAATGTGGAAGAGGACGCAAGCCAGGTGCTTTGAATAAAAGCAACTTGTTGAAGTACATCCTTCCAAATTTTAGTAATAATTGAACCCCCTTCTATTTCATTCATGTTGAGATAAACTTGAGGAAAAACAAGCCTAACACAAGAAAGCATGCCTTTGACTCTTTTTATTATACACTGATGGTATCTTTTTCAAGCTTAGCCACAATGGCATAATCAACAACATAATGAAGGATTAGCTAAACAACATATTGAAGTAGCATTAAGCCAGTTTATCAGCCACACTTAAAAAAATTAAACAACAAATGCAATGCTCACTATGCTTCAACATTCACCTCAATAGCATAAGCCAGTTTATCATAAATGCTTAAGAGCATTAAACAACAAATACAACACTCACTATGCTTCAATATTCACCTCAATAGGTTGATATTCTCCATAATATTCACTGTCACGGATAAAAGAAAAGCTCAAAATTCACTTTCACTATAAACTACTCAATGTGGAATGATCAATGTGGAATGATCAATCAAATCAATCAAACTAGAAGTAAGAAGCCATACAGCTGCAACCCTATAAATTTTTCAAACAGGATAAAAAAGAACTTCCATGGAAACAATCAATTTTTTTGGCAATATTTAACAAATAAAACCATGGGATCGGAAACCGTAGAGATCAAATGAGAGCAACGAAAGGAAAACCATAGAAATTAAACATATAGGAATAATATTGCGAGATACCAGATGAACGCTAGGAAGAACCAAGGAAGAAGAGAGGGAGAGTAGGGATGGAGAACCACCCTAGGGCTAGCACGATCACACGAGGGAGAATGACACGATAGGTATTTCCTAATCGAACACAACTCTTCAAAGCCGGACGAGGGGTCAATCCCGCGGCCTGCTTCCTTTAATAAAACTTAAACGTCGTTCTCAAAATGCCAATGAAACCCTCTAACCAAATGACATTTTAGCATTTTCAAAATGTCAAATGCAACAATAAGCTACCCCAAACACACCCTTAATTCATATATTGACATATACAACGCCTAAATTTTAATTTTTACATATATGCATTTCACCTTAATTATGTAGGAAAAAATATATTTCTTTATATTAAAAAAATAAAGATATATTTCATTTTTTAAGGGTTAAAGTAGTGATATTTTGAATTTTATATGAAAGATTTAGATGATATAAATGTAACATTGGAATTGGGCCGAATACATATAAATGCACATTCAATTTTTAATTAAAATATATTTTAAAATTTTTAAGATTTTATATTTAATAAACAAAATTTATAAATATTTAAATTCACACACAATTCAAAATACTTCCACCTCTATTCTCGTCGTATAAATCGCTTCCCCCTAGCTTCTTAACATCCGTCCTATTATCTCTGAAGATTCTATCTATTTCCTTCGCTCTCCGATCCTCCGAAGGTTCCATCTACTTCGTCGGAAATCGTTTTTTGCTGAGCTTCGAGGGGGAGGGAGGGGGAGGGAGAAAGAGACGGAGAGGGAGAGGGAGAGGGAGTGCGGATTTTGGAAAGGTGGAGGGGAGATGGGATGCGAGTCGACGGCGGCGTCGCCGGGTGGAAAACGGGGGAGGGATCCGGAGGAGGAGGTCTACCTCGACAATTTCCATTCGCACAAGAGATATCTTAGTGAAGTAAGTCGTATAAATATTGCGAATGTCTTAGATTTCTCCTTCCTGTTATGATCTACTGAAATCCGCCCATGTTTCTTATTTGGTTTTTGTTTTTTCTTACTAATTTTCACTAATTATTTCCCTTTTTTGGTGTGGGAATCTATGCAATGAAGGGCTTGAAGGTGAGTTTTGGCTTTAATTTTTGTTTCCCTCTAAATTGGTCAGTCCCGAATTCCTGCGTTTATTTAGTTTCTGCCGCTTCGTCTTATCCCTATTTTCTTGAACTCTCCTTTCTTTTCATTTCGTTCTATTTGAATTACTCGTCCTTTTTATGGATTTTTATTAGTCTAAATTTATACTAGTTTGTGTCACCAGTTTCAGATTTATTCCTTCGGAAATTTCTTCAGCTGATGGTTATTGTTTCCATTTGTTGAGATCTTGGTTTCTAGATAAGGAAGAGTTTTCGTTGGTCTTCACTTGTTTATCCCTTTGCAAATGCCACCAAATTCCTATTAATTTACATATCTAACACCTAAACTTTCTTTTTTTACATTAAATGCTACTATTTTAACTTTGAAAGAGCGAAATGCTCATTTTGATGCATAAGAAAAGTGGCATATATGTAAAAATTGAAGTTTAAGTGCTGGATATGTAAATACATAGGAGTTAAGTGGTATGTATGCAAATCTTCCTTGAATAAACTGCTAGATCACTTGGACTTGAACTATCGATCAGGGCGATTTAGTTTCGTAATGGTTTTGATCTGTTTACAGATTTGTGTATCTTTCTTGCTTGTAATGCTTTTGGTGGTGCCCTTTGTGCAATTATTTGATTTATTCAAGAATTTGGTTTATGATTTCTGTTTTAGATAATGGCTTCTAGTCTGAATGGGCTAACGGTTGGTGAATCCATGGCTGAGAATCTTATGGATTCTCCGGTGAGGTCTGAAAGCAACTGCTACACAAGGTATTTCATTAATCATTTCTTATATGGAATATTTACATTCATGCCAACCAAATTTCTATCTATTTACATATATAACAATTAAATTTTAATTTTTTCATTTATACCACGTAACCTACGCATAAAAGATGTGTTTCACCTTTTAAAAGTAAGAGTAGTGCTATTTTTTATGCGATATGAAAGATTTGGGTGGTATAAATGTAAAAAAATTAATGTTTAGGTGTTAGATATGTAAATACATAGGAATTGGGTAAGATATGTAAATACATAGGAATTGGGTGCTATGTATATATTTTTGTATTTTGTTGCATATTAATATTGATTTGTAAGCACTTTCTATCCTTAAACATATTCAGAGCAAATTGTAACTTCATCTGCATGCACGAAGAACAATGAATCATAAGCAAAAAGCAAATGAGAAATTAAAGTTTTATTTTGAATAATTGGATTGTAGCAGCGACATTCATTTTTTCTTCCACAATAATGATGATAGCTTATAATCATTGAAAAATGCACTAAAGAAATGAATGCATCAATCTAATTCACAAATAGTTGTTGAAAACTAATATAAAGAGGACGTGCAAGTAAGGTTTTACGAGGAAGATGCCATCAATATAGTTCACAGATAATTGTATTAAAATAATTGTTACAATTAAGATGAGTGGTATTATAAGATGCATACGAGAAAACAGTAGCAATAAAAGATAGTGTTATATTTAGATCAAAATATACAACAATAATATAAAAAGCCAAAAAGTAGGGAATTAGGCCCTGATATAGAATAAAGTTATGAACCGGTGTCATAGAAAGTTGCCAAAAATATGATTTTGAAGTATAAGGCGCTTGCAAAAATTCAAATAAGCTAATACTATCCAATAAAAATATCATGAAAAACTTTTTATGGTGAAAACAAAAGATGCCGAGGCCAAAATATTCAAAATAGGATTCTAAAATTTAAGCCAAAAACACGATAAAACCATCCATAAAACACATCATAACTTCATCCACTCAAAAAAAATAGCATGACATAAATAGCATTGTGTAATTGAATACTCCATTCTTTGCCTAATGGAAGAAATATTATCCCCCACATTTAACAAGTTGAGCTTTTTCACCAAAATTTTATGATGCTAGAGGTCACTTTTTTTCAACACTTGTGAATGAGTGCCATTCAATAAAAATAATGAATCATTAGGTGATGTGTTTTTAATAATCCATGAACAAAGTAGGGACATGAGAAAAATACATGATTATTGCATTCCTTTGCTTCGCGGGACATGAGGTAAGAGAGTTGATATATTGACTCCTCTAATTTGAAGATTGATTGCCATTTCAAGCAAGGCGTACACAAAGAAATCAAATACATGATTGAATTAATTTTAGAATATTTATAGTTGATCTAATCAAATCTTGGAAAGGAGTAGAAAAAGAAATTTTTTGGCATCAACAAAGGAGAAATTGTCATTATCCCTCCAATGTATGCTATAATCACCTCCTAAAATATGAGTTTTAATAATAACGGCGTAACACTCTTGGAAGTTCGTATGGGAAGAAAGAAACTATCAACAACCCCCTTCAATAATAATGGTAAGTTTGGCATAATGAGGGTGGTTAAAAATGCTAAAATCAATAGTCCACATTGTTTCCCCTAATAAATGTCCTTCTAATGCAAGGATCAAACTAAAACAAAGGAGTAAAGTGTCAAAATAGTCCCCTTACTCTTTACATGGTGCAACCTATAAAAATATCAAATTAGTTCTCAGATCCTTTAAATTGAGGCTGAAACAGTCCTTCGTGGGGATTATTGTAGCCCATATTAAAAGTGTATGGGGATTAAATTGACATATTTATAGACTTTGGAACTAAAATGACCCCTTACAAAGAGTCAAAAATTATATTGAAACTTTTTTCTAAAACAAAGTTCTATACCATGTCCCACAGCTAATAAATATTCTAAGAGAAGAGCTAATGAATTTAAAATCATCCAAAAGTGCGGAAAATAAGTATTTCCATTCCACTGAAAGGAACCATAAGTATTTTACACCAAGAGTTAACCATAGGAGATTTAGATAAGAAGTTCCAAATACTTTTAATCTTACAAGCACATTTGAGGTAGGAGGGAGATTGAAAATTGAGACCACTATTTCCAAATGTTTTTTATGCATGAGAGGGAAATTTTGGATCTTATTAGCAGTTTCATCATCGAATAATAACTTTGTAGATTTGACCATTTATTTTTTTAAGATCTGCTTTAGGGATACAGGTTGCTCTAAACCAATATGAGAGAGTTTTTGGGGAAAAAAATTAATCAATTGTATTATCAACAAAGTTTATTTTTATTTTTATTTTATCATTTTATTAATTTTTTCTTTCATTCCACTATCAAATGATTAAGCTTGTCAAAAAGTTGCTGGCATTCACATTTTTAGATTCCTTGAGAAATGGGTAACCCAAGATAATTGAAAAAAAAAAAATCCAAATGAAAGCTAGAGAGCAAGAAAAGAGACACTCCAGATTGGTAAAAATACTAAACATATCCAGAGAAAATTGCAACCTTTCGCATACTCAAAGAAGAGCAAATCATAAGCAAAATCAGTGTGAAATTAAAGCTTCATTTGAATGATCGGATTGTAGCAGTGATTGCCATATTTTTCTTTCATTATGCATAATAATTCCTCCATAACAATAGTGATCAAGTATAGAAATAACAGACAACCATTGAAATTTAAGTAAACATGCTCCTCAGCTCTAAAAATCACAGATTAAGGCACTAATAATTAAGCCATCAATCACATATTAAGGCTTTATGATTCACACATTCAAAAGGTCCATCTAAGCATAGAAAGCTTTTGACCATTGTTTCTCTTAAAACAAATAACAAATTGTACAGCTAAAATAACAATCTTAGCGCTATCTCTTCCTTCCACAAAAGCTGTCTGTATAGAATTTTTAAGGTTGGGAAGAATAACTCTGATTCTAGCAGCAAGAAGTTTGTTAACAACTTCGTAAAATGTATTGCAAAGTGAGATGGGTCTAATTTTATTGATGATATGGATAACAAAGTGTAGATTTTGGCAATTGAGGAAGATAATATTATTACTATTGAACGGGGCATAAATACATGATACAATAATTCTAAAATAGGAAAATATAATGCCCAAATCTCTCTCTAATAACTACTCCATGATAAAAGAAAAGTCATAAACTAGGAAATACAATAGGAAATTACCAGAAAGGAAATCAAATAATTTCTAAGATTCCCCCTCAAGTTGAAGCATAGATGCCAATCATGCTCAACTTCGATTTAAAATCGTCAAATAACAAGCGAAGAAGATTCTTTGTGAGATTATCTATGAGTAGGCCTGTGGATGAGACAAAATGAATACAAATTTTTTTTGAATCAAGCTTCTCCTTGATAAAGTGCCTTTAATTTCCACATGTTAGGTACCATCAGGTTGGAGTGGATTATGGTTTATGTTGATGACGACTTTATTGTCATAAAACAGTTGTAGTGGAACGGAGACCGGCATATGTAATCACTGAGCATGATGCACAACTAGAGGACCTCACATATCCCTAAGGACATGGAATGAAACTTGGCTTCAACACTGCTACAGGCAATCACAGACTAGTTTTTACTTTTCCATGTTACAAGGTTTTCTCATACGAAGGAGCAATAACTTGAGGTAGATCATCAATTATGGACGGCCTTGACCCCATGGATATCTGTATAAACTGCAATAGAGCGAGAGGTGCAATGAAAGAAAAACAAACTTGAGCCCGATGTGACTTTTAAGTTGTGGATGATCCAATGGAGAACAATGGGGATCATGCATAAACTAAGTAACAATACAAACGACGTGACAAATGTCCATGCGAGTATAGTCTAGGTAAATGAGTTTCCCCACGAGGTGTTGTTAGTGTGTCTTGTTCATCGGAACATCATTGAGAACGTCTGCCAATTTCTCATTGGGATCCATCGGAACTACTATCGGTTTGCAAAGACATAGTTTTGTTTTAGTCAATATATCTGTCACATATTTGCACTGAGAAATGTTAAGGCCCTGAGAGGACCATGCATACCTACAGGGGCGGAACCAACCTCTTTTTTCTGGGGGGACAAACTTATTACAAAATTAATTAATTAAATAAATAGCACATAATTCAAAATTAAAACGTGAATTCCATGAGCAAAATGCATTGATGTGTACCCTTAGGGAAAACTTTTGAACTAGCTTTAAAGGAGTATTAAAATCTTTTAAAACAAAAAAATTAATGTTTGATTAATGAGTTTAACACTTATATATACTGAATTAACTTCTAAAAGTTTGATTAAGCTTAGATTCTTATTCAATAAATTAATAAGTTAAAAGGGTATGAATAATAAATTAAAGGCTTTAATCGGTTTTGTCGTTACAGGTCAATGGGGGCAATTAATATAACTTAGAGGGGACAGTTATGATTAAATTGTATATTTCATTAATAAAATTTGAAATTTCAGAGGGCAATTCCCCGCCAACCTGAGAGAAACCTTAACCTACAACAACTTGTGTAAATATGTCGAACTAGACCCGGGGATTGTTTCAATCCCTAAATAGACTTCCGCAATCGACACACTTGTCTATGGGAATTGAGTCAAAGTCGTTAAAGAAAACATTCTTGACTTCCAACTGGAGTAAGTGTCAATCCAAATTCACGACAAGAGATAACAGAACATGAATGATATTAAGTTTAGCTACCAGAAGATACATTTCTCATAGTCAACTCCATATATTTGTGAATAGCCTTTGGCGACAACTGCGTCTTGTTGCGTTCAAAGGATCCATCGAAGTTAAATTTGGTGTTGAAGAATAGACCTGCAAGTCACCTCTTTCTTTCCTTGAGGTAGATCAACAACATCCCAAGTATGGTTGTGCCGAAGGGCATTCATCTCGTCCATAACTGGAATCTTCCGGCACGGGTCATGCAATGCTGTCTCAATACTGGATGTCAGACAACGACCCATCAAGGAAGTGGCAAATGCTTTGTAGTTTAGAGATAAGCTGTGGAATGAGACACATTTTGCCATGGGATAAAGAGTGCATGCCTTGTTTGCATACCTCAATGGGGGAATTCAGCTCATTAAGAGCAAGAGTGGTCTCTGTACGTAGTGAGAGCATCATTCCGGGGATGTTGGTCGGAGCAGATTCCAACAACTGCAGCGGGGCAAAGTGCTCAAGTGTAGGACCATTGGGATGAGTCTTAAGCGAGATTTTGGTATGCCGAGTAGAGACATGAAGAGTGGATGGATGTGATGTTGGTCTGGTTGGTGGCGGAACCAATGAGACTGAGGGTTCCTTAGGTAGAATATCCAATGGAGTCGGAAAAGGAACAGTGTCTACAAAAGCTAGCTCCCCCTCACTTGAGGCAGTGTTAGGGAAGTGGGGGACATTAAAAAAAAGAAGACATTGACACTCACATAGAAAGTATAGCTCCCCCTCCCTATGATTTTTTTAAATTTTATTTTGTATATATTTTATTTTGAAATAAAACATATTTGTTAGTGGTGTTTATTTTTAAAAGCCTTAAAAAATCTAAATATTATTCTGAGTATTTTAAAAATAAGTTGTTTTAAACTAAACAAACATATTCTTAAAAATATAAGCAAAAGTAAAAACAAAAAATAAATATGGAATCTTTGAGCATCATCGAGCATAATTGATAGATGAAGAGAGGGAGTGGATGGTAGACCGATATATATATTTTTTCCTTTTAGCAGCTGAGTTGATGGCATAAATCCTAGTGATTAAGAACTCCACATTTGATGAATATTTAACTATGCCGTGGATTTATTAAATGTCTGATAGGAGTAGGAAAGAACTTCAACTTGTTGTCCTTAATTAAGATTATTCCATCAAAAATAGTAATCAAGCTTCTAACAAGAGGAGTATTTAATAGGTGATCAGAGAAAAGCTTTGATTTCAAGATTGAAACAAGATCATACAATAATGAGAGATTCATTTTAAGCATTTAGGAATCTTGCTGGTTCCCTGAATGCACTTGGCATTCTATGAGACGAATGTTGGGTATGATATTACGTTTTTGAGTTTTGTTTGATGTTCTTTTTTTAATTGAGAACAAAGGTGATGTTTTCATGATGGGTAAGGCCTTGAGAGGGTTAAATTTATTTGCAATTGGTCTTAAATTAACGTTCATGGATACTTGTATGGACGCAGAGTTTTGTATTATTCTTGAATTTAATGTTGATTTTATTTGTTTTTGATGAATCCTAGATTCGATTTCAGTTAGATTTTAATTTTGATTTTGACGGTTTGAAAGTTGATTTTATTTTCTTTTTGACTTTCATTTTCCTCTAATAGGGGATATCTACAAAACAACAATGCATTCTTCAGCTAGAGACGAAAACCTGTACTTTGATTATCCCAAAAGAGGGATTAGTACAGTGAATCAATCATCTTTAACAAACTATTAGTAAGGCCTCTCAACCATTTTTGGGGGCAAAACAGAACAACTAAATAATTGATACCGTAATTAGTAGGGAAAATAGTGAAAATTTTTAAAAAGTAATCTCTTATTAATATTAAAATAAGATTATAACATGACTCAAACAAAAATAATAACACAAGACATAAGATGACATAAACAACACCCCTAAATGTAACCCAATCGGTGATGGGGGTCGGCAAAAGGAATATGAATGATTAGGAGGGATATCGGTAGTCACAGAAAGCGGTTGGTAGCGAAGGGAAGATGCGGAACTATAGTAACGACAAGTGGAAGGGTTGCAGGTGGTCGGAAGCGGTATTGTGGGAGTTGGGAGGGGTTTGAAAAGAGTTACATAGGCGGGGCAATAGTAATGATTTGCAAGAAGGGCAAACAGTTGGATGTCGGGATCATGGTGGGTGAGTTTGGCGGTAGAGGAGTGGAGGAGGTTTGGAAAGGGTAGAAAGGGGGATACAATCACCACCTTGGAGATGATACATCCGGAGCACCACCATCTCCTCGGATACAACCCCACAAAGGGAAAATGGACTCCACACAAGAGCTCTGAAGCTAAACTCAAACACAACTCAAATCTGACTCCCACATACACAAAGACATCTATTTATAGGCTTGGGAGAAACTTCTACACAGAAGGGATAGGTGGAAAGCCAAGAGGAATCTATAAATTACTTCCCAGAAAAGATTTGGTGCAAATAGCCTGGTTGGATTGTGAGAATTCACAATTTCTCCCTGTTGTATGTTCTCCTGTCTTCGCTGGATCGCGAGACCTCGCATGGCTTCGCAAGGTTTCGCGGAACTTCGGCCCAGCGGTTTCGAGCTCCCCCCCTTCGGGGCGCTGTTCCACGCTTGTATCTGGGTGACGTTCAGATGCCCTGCGTCAAGTAATGCTTCGTCTTAAGAATTATCAGACCCGATGCCAATCCTGTAAAAAGGCGCATGGTGCTTGAGTTTTCATATTGCAAATGACTGAAGACGAGCAATTCTTATCAGCTAGTGTTTTGGTTCTGTTGTACTTTTTTTTTTATTATTATTCTTATTGTTTTGGTTTTCTCAGCCTATCAAGCTATTAAAACATTTCTAAGGTTAGGGTATGCGAGATTGGTTGCATCTCTTAAACTAAAAGTAACTAACACAGGAGGTGTCTTCAAGCACTATTTAATATTTTGAAGGAAATTTGATATTTATTAATATATTTGATGACTAACACTTATAAGATAATTTTTGGATTAAACGTTTTAGAAACACCAACCCATATTGAAATAAATTTTTAACTGAGTTAAGCCTTTAAGAGGTTATAGTTTTAATGTTGCTTTAATCTAGTTTAGATCGATTATAATTCCACATTGATTCACCTCAACCCTAAAAACTTCCCTAAAATTACTTGTTAAAAGTACACATCAAAGGATTCATTTTTCGATTATTGTGATACAACAACTCGAGGAAAATTCCCAAATTGTTGAAGGTAAACCTTTCTTTTCTTTTTTGTTTTTTTTTGGATAGGTCTTCTCTTGATTATGGATAGATCTATAAGAAGTTTGTGTCATGTCCCACTGATTAGTGGTGTCAGCATTCATATTGCCCAAAAGAAGCTGCAGTTAGAGCATATATCTAATTTCCATTCATAAATCATAGTTTATTCAAATCATTATAGTAACGTCTTAATATTTTAGAGATTGTATTGATCTTTTCTTATGATTAATTATTTCTTTTGTTTGCATTTTATTTATTCTTTTGTAATAGGTAGGGGAGAAGCAGCAATTAGATCTAAATAGCTGCACAGTTAACTTCACGATTCTTATATGACATCTCAACTAAAGCTTTGCATGCATTGTGAATTCATGCTAGAAAGCCAAAAATGCTTATTTATTGATCCATTTACATACATGCAACTCAATTTATAAGCATTTACATATTTACCACAAAGTTCACCTTTTGGATATATTCCATCCAAATCTCTCATGCCACATCAAAAATATCACTTTTTTAACATTTTAAAAGTGAAATACATAGGAATTTATTGGTATGCATGTAAACTTCCTTCAATAGTTTATCACTGGCAATTATATTCAAATTTCATAACATGATACAGAGATGAGATTGCCTCAGAGTACTCGCCCATGTCCGAGGACTCCGATGACTCGCGCTTCTGCGACAACCCGATAAATTCCGTTCTACAATCCGATGTTTCAACTTGCAACGCCGCCCCAGTTTCCCCCCACCGGCACCAAAGAGCTCAAACAGCACCGGCGACCGCCCTGTTTCCTCCCCTTCCGGGCTGCACGCTCGCCGCCGTCGTCTGCTCGCATCCTCGGCAGCGAGGTTCGGATGACGGCGGGCGGTTCCCGTCATCGCCGAACGATATGTGTCACACGGGGGATCTGAGGAGGACGGCTCTGCTGCGGTCGGTGCAGATTCGAACGCAGGGGGAGGAGAAGCCGTGCTCGTTCATGAAAGATGAGGGAGGGTTTCAGATGGAAAGGGAAGGTGAGGAGTATATTGAGGAGTGCTCTTCTGTGGATGGGATAAGTGAGGCTTGAGTTTGGTGAGGAGATTAGAAGGTCTTGTTCATAACCTTTTTCTGAGAATGATCTTGTTCTTTCACTTTTATTTGATGTAAATTTTCCTTGAAAAGTTTTTTGGTTCTTCCACCCAATTCCTATTTATTTTTTTATATCTAACACCTAAATATTTTAATTTTTAAATTGTGAAAAACACTATTTCATGAATAGGCATGATGGTATATATGTGAAAATGTAAGTTTACTGGCTAATTTGTTTTAGGGATAATTACATAGGGGCCAACAGAAACATTGATATTTACAAATTAACCATCCTAGTGGTTTTTTTTTTTTTTTTTTTTTTAAAACATCGCATCAATGTATTTATACGTGTCGCCGCGATCAAACTATTGATAATTTGGTAAAAATGATGAATCTGGGTTGGGGTTTTATCGTGAATTTTGATATTTGAGTGAGAATTTGAAAAATGGATGGAAGAGAGTGGTTGATTTGTAAAAAGCAAGTTTTGGGTGGCATGTAATTGCTCTTTATATTAATGTAGAGTTTCTTGCGGTGTAAATTTTGCAAATTTATTTATTCGGGATACCTTCAGTTCTTGAATATTTATCTTTATTTCTTTTTCTTGACCATCAAAAGTGTCATGTTCTTATGGCGTATTAAAAATAGGGATAATTATGTACATAGCACCTGGAATATTGTTATTTGCAAAATGATCATCCGGGCCATTTTTTTTGCACCGTCAGCTCCATGGAATTCTATGCGATGATCAAATCATTTATTTGATAAAAGTGAAAGATATGCGTTCAGATTTTATTGATGGCGTATTAAAATTATGGATAATTGTATATAAAGCACATGAAACATTAATATTTACAAAACGGTGACTTTTTTTTTTTAAGTGCCAAATTCATGTAACCGTGTATGTCATGATTAAATCATTGGGGAATTAATAAAAATGTAAAAATATGGGTTAAACTTTTATTATGAATTTTAATACTTGATTGACAATTTGAGAAAAAAATATAAATGTTTCGGATGCTTAATTCTAAACTATGGTTTGAGTATGGATTTCGTTCCAGAATTCGTGCAACAACGAATTTAGAAACTCCATGGCCGAACAACGGGGCAGATGGTGGAACTGACCCGCTTTGTGCTTGACGGTAGAACACAAGCTCTTCTAGCGCTGAATCCTCAAGCACATGAGCTCTAAGACCATCAGATGGCTCAGGGATCCGAACAAATTGAGGAGTCTCGATAACAAGACAGTGATGGATCCATGCCAAGGAACAGTCTGCAAGCGAAGCGAAACGAATGGAAGTCTACCTACAACTAGAGAATGAATTATCCCAACAAATTGTAGATGCAAACCCCCAGAGAATGAAAGGTTTCATCTTTGAAGCTTTATAAGGGTTGCAGCGATCTAAACGATCACATTACATCCTTTGAGTCGGTTATATTCCTTCTCAAATTTTCTGGCGCTTGAAGTGTCGATTTTTCTATACCATGCTGTGAAATTCACCCCTCAGGCGATTCAATGGAGTCCTGATCGAAATTATTATTTCGGAGAGTTCAAGAAGCTATTCACGGCGTAGTTTGCTAGCACCCAAAAGCCCTGTAAGGATTTACAAGCTTTATGACATGTCAAACAAAGGTTGAATGAGAGCCTTCGAGCATACGTTGCATGGTTCTAGAAAAAGAAGCTGGATGTGCAGAACCAGAAGCCCGCGATAGTAAAGGCCGCTCAAGCACAAGGGTTGAGGAGCGCCCAATTTAAACACTTTTTGGGTTTATGAAAACCTGATACATTGGTTAAACTTACGGAGTTGGCCAACAATCATATTGTGGCTGAGAAACATGTTGACAAGTCTATTTCAAAAGGCAAAAAAATATGACCGCTACTTAGACAAAAAAGGCTCGCGAGATGACAGATGGAGGGAGGAGGATGACTCTTGCCCAAGACGGGAAAGAGGTCAGTCGTCTCGTGGTGATAGAGAGGCTGACCAAAATTCACAATGACAATATCGATCAAACGACTGATCGACTAACGATCGAGGACAACCAAAACCCACTCAATTAGTGGTTTCAATGGTAGAGTTGGTAAAAGCTATTCAGGACAAGGAACACTTCAAGAAGGCTCTACCAATGAGAACTGAAGCTGAATACCAACAATTTTTGTAAGTATCATAAAGACTATGATCGGGGCATGGAGGAATGTAGACACCTTCAGAGCCTGATCGAAGAACTGATTTGAGCTAGAATGCTCAAGGATTTTGTGGTCCCCGAGGAAAGCACTTGTATAAATTTACTCGAATGAGCCTGTTATTTTTATCCTTTTTAAAAAAAGACTCAGAGTCGCCATCTTGTCTTATCGTCATATAATTCCCTTCTCTAAGTACATCTCCCGATTGGATCATAGAAAAGATTAGAAGAGGAGAGGGATCGAAAAAATAGGATATACAACAAAAGTTAGACAAACAAATTTTAAAAAGAAAAAAGGACAGCTTATATAGAAAAAATTCTTGTGTGATAGATCAAAAGTGTACGTCCAAACAAGATCAGATAGAAACACCTCGAAACACGTATCTGCAAAAAGAATCTCTACATAAGCCACCCATGTAACCAGAGAGTCAAGTTTCTGTGCTTGTATTGGGTTTAATTGTACTCCCAAAAGAACATATCCCTTTGATTAATTACATATTAGAGGATACCCAAAAATACTCTCGTTAAGAAGAGTCTTGCTTACATTATTTATGATATTCAGTTAATTGAGAAATCAAAGGATTTTTGTGGTTATCTCAAGTGGGAGAATCCCAACGCACCAAAGCCATACTAGGTCATAAGGTAGAGGGTGAATCATCATATTCACTACGGGCCAGAGCCTATTGGCAAACGGGGCCCACAAGATGACCTCGATAAATTTCAACACGAGATGGCCTCGATGAAATTTCAAAGGAGTGACATGGCTTAAATGAGATGTCAACAGAAAGGAGAGGAATCCCTAAATTAGTAGAGGTAGCAAGTCCGGATACCATGGGTCCTTCATCCCAAGCTATGAAAACCCTAAGTCTAACTAGTTGTGAAGGTAGTCAACCCAACCTGACCAGGGACAACTTGTCAGTAATTCAAAAATTATGTCGTCCAAGGGAATCTTGGTAGCTCTAAGGTCCCTATGACCCGGTCAGAGGCTGAATAAATGAAAATGAGGCTTATACTCGTTAATTAAATGATGAAGATACCGCTGAAATGGAAAAGGAAAGAGAGGTCTAACTACAAAACTATCTTGTCATGAAGGTAGTTGACCCAACCTGACCAGGGACCCCTTGCAGCAATCCAAAAATTATGTCGTCCAATGGAATCTTGGTAACCCTATGATCAGAGGAAAAAATTCTCTAATTCCCTATGACCCACTAAGAGGTTGAATAAGTGAAGATGAGACTTATACTCGTCAATTAAATGACAAAGTTACCGCTGGAATGGAAGAGGAAAGAGAGGTTCAGCTACAAAACTAAAGTGCTCTCATAAAGGACTTGTACCACTGCCTAGGTTAAAGGAGCCTCTAATGCTCTAGTTGTGTTATACAACCACCTAAATAGAAATCTATGTTGGGTCAGTCGATTGAAGGAGCACGGGGGCTGATCCTCAGGACATGCAAAATGATATAATTGTTTGCAATTAGATTTAAATGTGGACGCCTTATTAGGGATTACTTGAGATATAGCTATGTAATGTAACCCATTTTAAAACCGACCTGAAGACCACGTAGAAAAAGTAAAGCAGAAAGTAATACTTATTTTAAAATTGGGATATTTTAATCCTAAATTTTGATTTATCTTAACTTTCTTATTATTAGGATTTTAAAAAAGATATTTTGGTTCCTTAAAAAGCCTAGATTGCATTTTTGTAGGAGCCTAGAAAAGCCAATTTCAAGAAAGAGTAAATGGCAAGCACATTGTGCAAAATGAATCAAGCCAAATGAATATATAAAATGTCGAGTGTCGCTGAGTCGACAACATGTCCTAGAAACCTGAAAATGTGATCGGATTTCACATACAGATATCCGATCCTAATTTTATACAAGTAGAAAATTCAGACTTAAGGTACGAGACACAAACAATTGCTTCTGATCCTCGTCACGTGGGTTCGATACGTCAAGCCCCTAAAAAATGTGCTCGTACCTTATTTTTGATATATACTCCTTAAGGACTCTAAACAAATACATAGAAATGTCCAAAAAAGACTTCAACTACAGAAGAGCTAGCATGGGTTATATTCATGCAACGCATAATAAGCCATGCCTAATAGGAGGGGAGCTTAGCAGCACCTGCAAAAAGTGTTAACTTTTAAATCATTACTTTTTTCTCCCTTTTTTATTTACTTTTAGGCATGACTCCCTGTATAAAAAACTACTTCTAATATACTAGTGCGCACATCCCATACCAAGTAAAAACACAAAATAATCAGCAAAGGATGTCTGGCTAGACGACAAAATAATAGAGAATAATAGCCATCACATTAAAAAGACTACCTACGCATCCTAATCTTAGCCTAGTACAACATCTACCTCATAGTTCCTAGTCACAAAATCTAAGTGCACGTGCATTGCAAAGGTGAAGGCTACCGTATGACTTTGAGGAGGTCATCGACATCGACCCCATCCTAAAGATCCAAGGGGCCTAATGCACATCACCCAAAAGGATTTTAAAAGAGTTGGGCACTCAATGAGTTTGGTCGCTTTAGAGTGTGACCCAAATTGAGCACACAATATGAAACACTTATCACGTTCATGTGTGATGCCATAAGGAGTGAGGAAGCGTAGTTTCCATTTAGGAGATTTACACACCGCCAGGCTAGCCATTACTCGCTAAGGATATGCAAGTATAAAGCCCCGCACATATAGTAGTATGTGTGTGTGTGGTGATACCACAAATGCACACCATGTGCAAGCAAATGCCAGCAAAATAGATTTTGCCAAAAAAAAAATTATATACATATATCTTCTCAGAGCTTGTCTTATTTTAATGTTAAAAATAGCTACTGTGATCAAACATGATTGGCTCTTTCATTGGCTCAAGCAGCAGCTTAAAGTTTCATTTAGATCACTAAAATGAAGCAAAAAATAAATAGATCC